CTTCAGCTACCTCGGTGTCATCCTAGATTAAACTTTATCCTTCGACCGCCAAACCAACCATATCATCAGTTCATGTAACTTTCACCTGAAGGCTCTCAGACACCTATGTCCTCTCATCTCTACTGAAATTGCCAACACATTGGCATGTTGCATAGTTGGGTCTCGCCTTGACTATTGCAACTCCGTCCTAGTCCGGACCTCCGCTGGCAACCTAAAGAAACTTCAAAGACTACAAAACAACCTAGCACGCGTCGTCATTGCCCACACTCATCCCCGTCTCGACTCATTAGCTTGTCTCCGTGCTCTCAACTGGCTACCCATCGCCAGTAGGGTCACATACAAGATCGCCTGCCTCTGCCACAACGCCTTCATATCCGCCTGCCCGCCGTACCTTTCTTCATTATTGACAACTTGCAGCTCAGCACACGGCAGATGCCTGCGCAGCGCGACTCACGACCTCCTCTTGATACCGAGATCCAGGATGGTCATGTCTATGCGCCGCTTCTCGGTGACAGCCCCGACAGTCTGGAACGATATCCCTCTGCAACATTCACAGCATCACCTCAATCGCCTCCTTCAAGAGAGACTTAAAAACGCACCTCTACAATCATGCTTTCGAGCGACTCTGAGCTTGGCTCCGCGCCTCCGAGTTGCGGGCATTACGTCTGAAAATTTGCGCGCATTCCAAATTGAACTATTATTATTATAGCTGCCACTGCTATTCAGTGGCCTAAAATAAAATAAAATGTTTCGCTCCGGATGACCGCTGCAAAGTATCCTTAAGGTGCATTGAAAAATTTGATACTCCGACTGATGTTCCTCACGTTGTGGAGTGACTCATGCAGCCAGCTATGGCTGCAGGGTTTGGTACATGTTGTTTATGTCGTTTATTGTGAAAATTCGGTCACAGTTCCTATGATCACTGTTACATTGCTTTTATGGCTTTATTTTGGTGATTTTGAATGTTTTTTGGTTTGGCCATGTTTGTTTGTTGTAGTACAGAGTTTTACTGATGGCCTTAATCTAAATTGTCTTGTGGTTGTTGTTTAACTTGCATCCCACTGGGATTTTTGCACACAGCGTTGGTGTACGGTGATTTTTTTCTGGAATTTTTGCTGTTTTTTCCCCTGGATTTTCTGTTTGCACTTAGTTACATAGTCACTTTAAGATGTTTTCTTGTTCATGTTTTTGTTTGTTGCGGTTGCACCCAGGTCAAGAGCCCAATGGCTCACAGGGCTATACCTAATAAATGAATTTGAACTTGAACTAGAACAATAATGTTATGGAAGAAGTATGAAGGCAGAGCCATTTGCAGGATAACAAAAGGGATAATAAGGCAGAATGGCAAGTAGGAATGCCTTCATCCCGCGGAGCAAGGCGCTGATGCCATGACGGCGATGGGTGTTTCGCCCCGGACGACAAGGGGCCGCAGGGGGGCGGTCAGCGGAACCGAGCGCCCCGGAAGTGCGTATGAGCCGCCGCTCCACTCCCGCGGGTGGCATCCGGTGTCGGGGCAGGCGGAGCCTCCGTTGGCACCAGCCCCGTCGCCGGGGCCCCAACAGGCAGCGCCTCAGAGGCTACTCGGGGAGGTTCTGTAGGTGCACAGACAAAGTTTATACCCCTATGTCATCTCGGCCGAGGCGGCCCGGCTCGTCCGACACATCAATCACCGGCTGTTCAGGAAGTGCTAGAGGAATAACCAGGACTAGGTGGCACATCTTTTTAGCCTAGACGGGTGAACAATCTAGTGTCGGCGACCGAAGCGGATGCGAACACACTATGGCCGTCGGACCTCCACAACCTCAACAGGGCCCTGCCAAGGGCGATATAATTTTGGGGATGTCCCCACGGGCACCTGTGGACAATGCAGTCACGCCTTTTGACCCTTTTTCCACAGAAGCCCAGAGCCCTGATGCTTCGGCAGATGAATCATCTACGGCCACCTGTCGTGCATCACACAGTCTGTCGAGTTGCAATCTTCATTGGAGCGGGCACAGCAGATCTCTTATTTGTGGACCCTAGGTCAAGTTGGACATGCATCGGGGGCTCAGGTTCCCTCCCGTACATTAAATAAAAGGGCTGTCAATAATTGTTCGGGAGCACCCTTATCCAGGACGTAACCTTGCACAAAGGCCTCGGTGATGGACGAGGCCGACTGGTCTATCAAGGGCCATGCCATAGGCCAACGTGTGAGGTACTCGACCCCGACTAGGAGATACTTGTGGCCCCGTTGGGAGGTTGGAAATGAGCCCAAAATGTCTAGGGCCACAAGCTTGTTAAACTGAGAAACCCGGATGGACTGCAGCGGGGCCCAATCACGGCCAACTGGGGCCTTCCGCCGTGTGCAATTGTGGCAGCCCTTCAATAGCAGCGTCACGTCACCTTCCATACCCGGCCAAGGGTTAACAAGGTGTTATGGTAACCGAGGTGCATAAGTTTCTCGTGAACTGCTCGGGCCGGTTTCACTCGTAGGGCAGTGGGCACGACTACACAATATATCTCCAGCTCCGTATCCCAACGCATGAGAAGGCCTTCGTGCACAGCGACGACCGAGGCGGCCGGCGGAGCGGAACTCCGGGCATTCGGCCCAACACGGCGTCGCAGCCTGAGCAGAGAGGAATCCTCCATCTGCATCCTTGACCATTTTTCCCGAAGAAGACCAAGGCCAAAATCTGCAGGCAATGACACCTGGAGGGGAGGCCGGTATCGATCGTCGCAACCAACTGGGCCGCGGTGTCAACGGGGGCCCTGCAGCGACCCGAACCCATGGTGCACGTATACCTGCTATCCGCAGGCAACCTGGACAGGATATCCGCATTACCATGCTGCACCCCTTTCCTGTGGATGACGTCAAAGGTATATTCTTGCAGTACTTCGAGCCAGCGGGACAGCTGACCCAAGGGCTGATCTATTTGCAGGGAATATTGCAGGGCCGCATGATCTGTCCTAACGGTGAACTGCCTACCATACAAATAGGGCCTGTACAATTGCACAAAAAACACAATGGCAAGCAGCTCCCTCCGAGTCACACAGTATCGCTGTTCTGTGGAGGACAAAACGCGACTGCCGAATGCCATGACCCTTTCAACACCATCGACTACCTGGGCCAAGACAGCCCCAATGCCCGTGTAGCTGGCGTCAGTGTCGAGCACATAGGTGGCGCATCCGCCAGGGATGCTCGAAGCGCCACAAATTCAGCTTCCTCCTCAGTGCCCCAATGAAACTTATGTCCCTTTGCGGACAGTGCGTGCAGTGGCTTCGTGACCGTGGCAAAATCGCGCACAAAGCGGCGATAGTACGAGGCGAAGCCAATGAAACTGCGTACCTCAGCGACAGATGTGGGAGTCGGCCACGCCCAAACGCAAGCTGTCTTTTCGGGATTTGTGGCGACACCTGACGTGCTAGCAACATGGCCCAAATATTTCACTGATGTTTGAATTTCAATCAAAGACCGACTCCAGGCGGCGCAAGTGTTTTGTCAAATGTACGGCTGAAAACAAATCACGTCGTCTAAGTAAATTAAGCAAGATTCCCATTGGAGACCCGCCAAAACCATCTCCATGAGGCGTTGGAAGGTGGCCGGGGCCGAATGGAGGCCCATAGGAAGCCGATTGAATTGGAACAGCCCCTGGGGTGTGTGGAACACTGTCTTGAGTCTAGAGGCCTCATCCAACGGCAACTGCCAGAAGCCCGAAAGCAAATCTAGGGTCGAAAAGAACTACGCACCCGCGAGGCCATCGAGGGAGTCATCCATGCGAGGAAGGGGATAGGCATCAGCCACCAAAATCTTGTTTAATTCATGAAAATCGAAGCAGAAACGGTGACTCCCGTCCTGTTTCTTGACCAACACAATAGGAGCGCCCCACGGGCTAGTAGGAGAGATAATGTCTGCCACCAACATCTCGTCAACGGCCAAGCGGACATGATCCTTTTCCTTAGGGCTGAAACAATGTGAATTAAGCCGAATGGGGGGCGAATTTCCTGTGTTACTGTGATGTTCCAATACGTACATGCGTTCGATATCGAATTTGCTTTTACTGAACACATCGGTGAACCGTTCAATAAGCGCACGGAGTCGTTGACGCTGTTCGAGGGATAGGGCAGTTTTTTGACACAACGCATCAATCCATGATGTGTCGGGAAGAAATATCAGCCTACTTGGCAATTGCTAACAATTCAAAGCTCGCGCGCAAGGGAGAATAACCGATCCAGAGCCAGCGAGTCAATTGCCGCTCTCTCCATATTGGGGTAGGCCGATCGAGCCAGCGCCAGCAAGGAGCAGTGGAAGGCGAGAGGAGTTTCTATTTCCTCTCGCCTCTGCAATGAGAAGGTGGCTCAAAAATAGTGGCCATCTGGGCCTACGCCATAGGGAGTGTCGCCCTATCCTCTGGGGGGATTGATTTAAACGCGGCCAATGCCCAATCATCAAATGCCGTGGGTAACACCTTGAGTGCCTCGTCCATGGCCCATCTGACCGAAGTGTACGCCGCGTCGAAGCGATCTTGAAACGCGATGAATGGGCGCACAGGTGGCAGGCGATGAAGCTTGTGGCCGCCGGCGGTGGTCACCAACGCGGGCGCATCTCCCGGTGCACATGCCAGCCCCGCAACAGGCGCTGCAACGCCGCCCGGTTGCTGAAGCGCATCAACAATGGCGTCTGGTTGCGGAGTCGCACGGAAAATGGCGCCTGTATGTGGAGTTGCGTAAAAAATGGCGCCAGGTTGGTGCGGTACGTCCCGCGAAACAATGGCGCCCGGTTGCAGAGTCTCGTTCGTTGAGAAATTGGCACCGATTTGGAATGTGGCGGGCGGCGCAATGGCAGGAACCCGGCGATCCTGCTCCGAAAGGGTGCCGGGTGCGCCCAGCTGCACACCCACCTCGGACATTGTGGCGACGAGCTGCGCGGCCGACTGGAGCAGCTGCCCGAGCTCGTTCGAGAGGATCTGCCAGGTCTCCGGCGGCGGTGAGTAACGACCCACGGACGCCATCTCCTCTTGCTCCGGTTGGCCCGGCTCCACGGGGCGCATCTCCGGGGCCACAGACCCTGGGGATGTTGCGGGATTTTCCATGCTCTCTTCCTCACCGGATAGCACCACAGGCAGGGGTCTTCCTCCTCGCCGCGGACTTTGACATGGCGGCGAAGGCAGGACCATTTCTGGCACCAGTTGTGTAGTGCACGACGACTCGGATGCAGAACTTCTGGTAAGGGCTTTCGCCGGTTTATTAAACACACGGTAGCACTACACACCAGAGATAGGTGTCCCTATACTTGGTCCTAGCTCAGCTATGTCTAGGGCTCTCTCAATCGGGTCGGGACGGAGGCTCAACCAACACCGCCTGACCGAGGAGAGCAGCACTTCACGCAAACCTAGCCGGCTCTTGCAGACTATTATGAGCCCTACCCCTGGCTGTCTCTTCATCAGCCGCTCACCATCCCTGGCTCCCACGACGACCCCGCTCACGTCACTGGGGTCCCCCTTAAGTACCCCTTTACAATCCCCGTCACATGACGTCATCCCATTACCCCATGACGTCATCAGGCTACTCATGAATCCCGCATGCTCAGAAACTGCATGCTCAAGCAGCGTAAGTTCAGATATGAGGGACTAAACGGGTATGGCATGGGCTAGAGAAGAGATTGGAAGATGTGGAGGTGATCGGACTTGCCAATGACTGGTACCAGGAGTATAAAGATCGACCTCTGTGGAGGAGGCCCATGAAGGATGCTGCAGGGTAGTTGGAGGCATTCGTACTGCAACAACGAGGTCAGAGGAGTGACACATAAATGGGTGGAACACTGGATGTCTAAAATGCAGCAAGTTGGCACAGTGCGTAGCACAGGTGGTGTATCTGCCAGTGATCTTAGTCATCCCTTGACATGTTGTATATGTCGGGTCTTGAAAAATTTATAATAAAAAATAAAATTTAAGTGAAATAAAATTTAAGGTATGTTGTTATGACATTTAGGCTCGGAAATGTTGTCAAGGGTTGTATTATCAATCGGGATAATACAATGAATTGTGTAAAGTTATGCAAGCGTGATGTAAGTATGCTAAATTAAGCTTGGCTTCGTTGTCTAGGGCTGTATTATCAATCGGGATAATACAATTATTCTCGCTTTATCATTTACTGATTATGTTCTAGTGTGTTTATGTCAGGTCTCCAAACTCAAATCTCACCGCAGGATACAGTTCTTATAATTAAGATTATTACGCATGAACTTAGGAGGGCACCACTCAGACACTTCTGTGTTAAGCAACTTTAATTTCTAAACAAAAACATGACACTCTAATATGCAAACTCTTATGCTTGGAATTGTCAACACAGTACTCCTGAAGATGTTCTCCTCATTGATCCGTACATTTAACCCTCAATGATTACGTTTGTTAAACTGGGTAACAGAACAATCGTTTAATTCCTCAGCGTAAAAGCGAGCAGACACGGTGATTGGAAAAAGTCTTTAAAAATTAATGTGACGATATTCATACGAACGGCAATAAAGAAACATCTCCCGAAGGCAAAAATAGACCTCAATGAATTCATCGGTAAGATTATGCAATTAACGAAATGTCTTGGAACAATGGTGTGCGGCAGTTTCAGCAAATGTTTATCAAATTGGCTCGGGCTTCAATAAATTTGCGGGCAAGATTATGTGATCAAAATAATGATTTTAAAACGATAGTCTCCCTGTGAGTGTGTAGATTCATAATGTGTAGGTTTCTAAACGTTAAGTTTCATCAATGAATTCATTGGTAATATTATGCAATTAACAAAAAGAACGACTAAAATACTTCTAAATGACTGTATCCACGTAACTCAATGGGCAACAATGTTCATCATCAGCTAATAGTTGACGCACTCTTATCATTAGTCTTCTTATTATTCCCGATATGTGCGTTATGTGCGTGTTGGTGGTTTGTCTTCTTGTTCAACTCTGTTGTGTTAAGCAGATGCCGGGCGATGCGTTGTGAGTGTGGGGGAGGGTCATACACACAGCTTCCTCGCTCTCTCTCGCTTGGCGGCAGCTGTAGCTGCTTGTCCACTGCTGGATGAAGAGTCGGTACGACGCTCGCCGTCGGCGGTGCGCGATGATTCCGTCGTCAGATAGCGCCCGCAGCTCGTCCGCTGGTCACCGTTCCTCACTCTTGTCTTGGTTCCCAGCTGGTGCTGGTCGGTGTGTGTGGGTCGAACCCACGGCGCTCTCACCGGCGCTCTCCTCTTCCTCACGGGCAGCTGGTCAGGCTCTTTCCCCTGCTGGATGAGCTGAGTCCGCACAACGCTTGTCTTTGAAGGTGCACGATAGCGCTCGCCGCTTGTCCGCTGGCAGCTGACACCCTTGCTCGGTGACACTGGTGGTGCTGCTGCGCTCTTTTTCCGGCTCCATGCTCTCTGGCGATGCCCGGTTGCGCGTGCAGCTGCTTCTCTGCGATGCTGGCTTGGTCGATGCTTGGCGCTTTCCTCCCTTTCTCCCGGTTGATTGCAGACGTTGCTCGTCACTCTTTCTCTCGGGCTGCAGCTGCTCGTGGGAGCTGGCACTCACTCTCAAAACTTGTAAATTGTATTCGCACACCTCTTACACAACTGTGAAAGCTTAGTACAATACAAATTATCGCAATCCTTTACTTTGCAAGTGACGCAAAACGTCAGGATAAATGTAGAATAAAACTTTCAGCGATACTCTGTCGGTCCATGCCGAACTCAGCACCGAGCATCACCTCACCTCTCTTCTCTGCGAGACACAACACCCATTGTTGATCTTGAGGCCATGCCCCGGAGTCTGCCCGTCGCAGTACTGGCTCTTTGCGTTGACTTCGTAGACTCGTGGCTTCTGCTGATGCAGCTCGTTAACGGGGGCAGGTTCCCGGAGCCTGCCGATCGCAGCACTGAATTGTGTGTGTCGTGTCCCTGTTTATATCTGAAATCTCTGCTGTCGGCTCGCCTTCTCACAAAGGACTGGAATCCCTTTGATTTCGCTCTTTGCTGTGGGGGCAGTTGTTCATCCGGGGTACGTGTGTATGTATGTGTATGTCCTTATTTATTAAGCAATATGTTAAGTTTCACCCTGGCCTGGTTTCTATGTCCCCCTCCTCAAGCCATATTTTCATCCGTGGAAAACAGATGCCCCAAATTACCCTTGATATGTTTTCCTAGTTTTTCAACTTTGTAATAATTATTCTGGAGGGTGGGGTTCCCCATGTCCAGTCGCATTCACCCCCCCCCCCCTCTCTCGCTGTGGGGTGTTACATTTTCTTCTCTCTCACAGAGAGGTGCGCTGGCCTTTGAAGTTTTGTACCGTTTGGAAAAAAATATTATTTTACCTTTTTTTGCTTGATACCGTACCACTTTTGTAGTTCTGATTCTGTAAGTGACTCAAAGTATGTTTGTAGCAGTGTTTACAGTACTTCCATCGTGGTTTGGAGTTCCTTCATGGTGTTTAATTTTTTATTTTAAGAGGAGATGCCCTCTGAATGCGTATGCATTTTTTTAATATCACGTGCTTCTGGGAGACGAAGGTGGTTGGGAGGTTCTCTCTCTATGGGATACATTTTATCTTGGTTATGTGTGATTGACCTGTTTCGCCTTTTTTATTCTTCTTGGATGACCCTAGGTCTAATACTTCATAATTATTATTTGGTTTATGTTTATCCAGAATTCATTCTTTGGTTCTTTTGGTAAAGTCACGTAGAAGAAGAAGAATAAAAATAAGGTGAATAACATTATGGTTAAAATAATATTTGAGAAATAATAACCCGCTAATGTAGATTTTAGCCTGGTTTTTAATCGGAGTGAGTGTGTTGGCAGTCTATGATGTCCACTTAATATTGTCGCTAACTTTTGGACTTTTACGGTATAAAAAAAAAATCAGTTATAATATCCGTTTTCCCTGCTATGTGCCTGTGTTTTACCGTTCTGGAGATTTGTTTGTGAACTGTCCAAAACGTTCGGGGGAGGTCGTGTCATATGGTCATCTGACCACAACCTGGAGATTTTCCAGTTCGTCGTTAACCTCCCTTTGCCCCGGAGTTTATTATTTAATGGTTATTTTATGGCCTCCTCCCTCGACTTGCTTTCAATGCGGTAAGGCAGCTCCTGTGTGAGGGGAGGGGGGTTCGCATCACCCCCTTTTGTCCCTAGCGACAGCGCGATTGATTATTAAAAAATAAATATTGGCAGAATTATTCTTGATATAAATTTTTGTAAAAAGGCCTATATATACAACAGACACCTGGATCATTCCCATGACCTACTGGCAAGTGCTCCACACTTACATCGCCTCAATTCGCACCTATCATGGCATGACCACTGTGATGATGTAACTACCAATTAGTGGTGAATGGTGGCTGTTTTCTTTTGTTCGTTCGGTAAAATCACGTAGGTAGAAATAAAACAAATCACGTGTCATCTATGTATCTCTTCCACAAGGAATGACGTAGGGTGGATGTCTGGATAGCAACTGTTTAAAATTTCATGGAGAAATTGATCATGGAGAAATTCGAAACAGATGACATCTTGTTGTTCGCAGGACTTTATCAGGAACTATTATGACTTTGTTTACATTTATTTTACACTTTCCGTCGCCGCAAAGTGTATTGGTAGTCTATAATGTAGACTGTAGCCTGCTTTTTAACTTCAATGAGCATACTGGTGCTCTCTAATGTAGACGTATTCCTGCTTCTTCAATGCATTTCACTTGCTTCGTTTGCTCACGTCACGCTATTTACTTACATGTAGTATTGCGATGGTGATTTCTATGTAAATAAGTTGCAGTTTCTTTGGTATAGCTGATTACATTTGGTGTTTCATTTTGTTACGTTGTTGGAAAAAACTATTTAAAAATTGGCATACTGCAGCTTTTCTTTCAACATTCTCCTCATGCAGAGAGAACTATTTCTCTTTTTGGTATTGTTTTTACGCACTGACATAATAAAATGCAGTCCTTATTTATTTAGTTAAATACCAAATTACTGCTGTTTTCGTGTGTGTATTTATTAGTTAGCAGGTACTGGAACCTACCAACTCACATGCGTTCGGTGGGGCGGAGGGGGGAATTTTCTTTCTTGTGGACACAAGGTAAAACACACACATTTGCAGCTCCCTTTAAACCTTTATTACCTTTGCTGTTTACTCATTACCATTACTGTTCTTTATTAAATGATAGGGTTTTACCAATGTTTTATGATAGTTAATGTAAGTAACACGATTTTTCTCCACCAATACTAAGAGCTACTTTAAAAAAAAATCAAAAATGGCTATTATTGCGACCACGTCTTTATGCGAGGGAATCACACTTATGCAGTACGTTTTCTATTTGAAAATAGATACATTTCTAAATATCATTGTCCTGCTTACAACAAACTACTTTGAGGGGAATAATAGCCTTTTTCTGTACTCATTAGGCATAAGCAGCCACCGACTATCACTTACTGGACAGGGCCTAACAAATATACTGAATGCTATTATGTCTTCATTCTAGCATATTTACACTTGCCCCCTCAGTACGGGGGTTGAACAGTGACATTATGTCAATTATGCTTAATTGGTGCGCATCTCCTCATAGTTACAGGTAGGATAAGTTGTTTTTTATTCATTGACTTTCATTTGTTTACCGCTTTTTCTCGTGCTAAATATTTGCACAAAAATGGTGGAACACCATCGCCCTCGTTCTTAATTACTTATTACACAGATAGAAAACTATTATTTAAAAACTTAGTAAATATGAAAATAATAATGTTTGTGTACACGTCCATGTGTGCATGTTAGTCCATATATGTGTGTGCGTCGTGTGTGTGGGTGGATGTGTGTGTGTGTGCGTCAATGTGTGTGTGTGACAGTCACTGTGTTTGTATGTGTAAGTCCATATGTGTGTATGTGTGTTAGTTCATGTGTGTGCGTGTAAGTCCATGTATGTGTAGAGTCATAAATAGCGTCCATACGGTGTATACACCTAATGCAACTACGAATGCTACAGGAGGGTGCACGTACCTCTGGAGGGAGCCAGCGGAGACGTGGCGGAGAAGCAGGCCCTGCTTGGCAGGGTCCCGTCGCAGAGGGAGAGAGGGGACGTGTCGGCTCAGGGGAGTTAAGGGGGCCCGGAAATGAGGGCCCGAGGACATGTGACGCTGGCTCCGGTTCCGTCTCGAGAGACCGAGGAGGGGGCGTGGCCAGGGGCAGAGCAAGGCCACAAGCTGACGGTGCGGCGACTTGGGGAGTCGGGGGGCGTCGGTCGTCGGGGACTCGCTAATACGGAAAACCCTCTTTTGGGGGTCTAGTGTAACCCCGAGTGTGTTATCCCTAGCCCAGGAAGTGGAAATAAATCGTGGTGCCTCCAGACCTCAGTGTGTGCTTCGTCCGATACACACTACATATGTTTAACTCCATGTGTCTGTGTGTGTAACTTCATATGTCTGTGTGTGCGTAAGTCCATGTATGTGCGTAAGTCCACGTGTGTGCGTAAGTCCTGAGTCGATTCGTTTATGTGTAAGTTGATGTGTTAGTGCGTGTGGGTCCATGTCTGTGTAAGTCGATGTGTGTTTGTGTCTTTTTCGCCTGGGCAATGCCGGGTACTTCCTGCTAGTGTTAAATATACTAGGGCCTCCAGGCATTAAACTGACCACTTGCCTGTTATGCCAGGCCAAGAGCTGATCGTCAATAGAAGCAAGTGCCTTAAAACAGCCTGTGTGATGAATTGGGGGTGATTTTTTTTCTTCTCGTTAATGTTTGAGTGTTCTTGTCTACGTAATATGTGAATATCACGTGTGACTGTGTATATATATTTGCATTTCTATGCTGACATACATTGCGTGGATATTACTGTTTTCTGTCTGCAGCTGCCAGTTCTTCTGCCACTTGGCTGTACAGAATTGGTCATGGAGCGAAGACAATCAGCAGGAGAAAAACCCTTCAAGTGCACTGTGTGTGGGAAGGCGTTTGCACATCCATCACTTCTTCAAAGACACCAGAGAAGTCACACAGGAGAGACACCCTTCAAGTGCACTGTGTGTGGGAAGGCGTTTGCAGAGGCATCACATCTTAAAAGACACCAGAGAATACACACAGGAGAAACACCCTTCAAGTGCATTGTGTGTGGAAAGGCCTTTGCACAGTCATCACATCTTAAAACACACCAAAGAATACACACAGGAGAAAAACCCTTCAAGTGTACTTTGTGTGGCAAGGCATTTGCACATTCATCAATTCTTCAGGGCCACCAGAGAACACACACAGGAGAAAAACCATTCAAGTGCACTGTGTGTGGGAAGGCATTTGCACATTCATCATTTCTTAAAAGACACCAGAGAATACACACAGGAGAAACACCCTTCAAGTGCACTGTGTGTGGAAAGGCCTTTGCACAGTCATCACATCTTAAAACACACGAGAGAAAACACACAGGAGAGACACCCTTCAAGTGCACTGTGTGTGGGAAGGCATTTGCAGAGTCATCACATCTTAAAAGACACCAGAGAATACACACAGGAGAAACACCCTTCAAGTGCACTATGTGTGGGAAGGGCTTTGCACAGTCATCAGGTCTTAAAACACACCAGAGAATACACACAGGAGAAAAACCCTTCAAGTGTACTTTGTGTGGCAAGGCATTTGCACATTCATCAATTCTCCAGGGCCACCAGAGAACACACACGGGAGAGAAACCCTTCAAGTGCACTGTGTGTGGGAAAGCATTTGCAGAGTCATCACATCTTAAAATACACCAGAGATGTCACACAGGAGAGACACCCTTCAAGTGCACTGTGTGTGGGAAGGCCTTTGCAAAGTCATCACATCTTAAAACACACCAGAGAATACACACAGGAGAAAAACCCTTCAAGTGCACTGTGTGTGGGAAGGCGTTTGCACATTCATCACTTCTTAAAAGACACCAGAGAATACACACAGGAGAAACACCCTTCAAGTGCACTTTGTGTGGGAAGGCCTTTGCAATGTCATCGCATTTTAAAGCACACCAGAGAAAACACACAGGAGAGACACCCTTCAAGTGCACTATGTGTGGGAAGGCGTTTGCATATTCATCAATTCTTCAGGGCCACCAGAGAACACACACGAGAGAGAAACCCTTCAAGTGCACTGTGTGTGGGAAGGAATTTTCACTGTCAACATATCTTAAACAACACCAGCGAACGCACACGGGAGAGAAACCCTTCAAGTGCACTGTGTGTGGGAAGGATTTTTCACTGTCAACATATCTTAAAAAACACCAGAGAACACACACAGGAGAAAAACCCTTAAAGTGCACTGTGTATGGGGGGAAGGGTTTTCGACAGTTAGGGGATCGAAACAAGCATCAAACCATTCATCAGGAAATTAATCTGAAATCGGCTTGTGAAAGTCAAAGTGCTGCAATGAGTCCATCACTCATGAAACAAGAACTAGAAAAACATTTGGGATATGAAACGTGGCCAGGAGTGAAGGCAAAATGTCAAGAAGTGAAAATGAAATTTGAATCAGTGAAAGTGAAGACTGAAGAAGTGATGGTAAAGAGTGAAGTGATAGTGAAATGTGAGGTAGAAGATTCGACTCCAAAATCCGACCTTCACGTCGATGGAGGTAGCGTGAAGCTGGAAGAGACTGTGGACGCTGAGGCAGAGCGAGGCAACTCCCAGCAATTTGTGGATGTGGAGGTGTGGGTGGATTTTTTAGGCAATACTGAGTCAAATGGAGACCAAGTAGATGTATATCATTGACCTAAAGATAAACAAGTTCCATTTCATTCACAGGACTTTTCCATAAGAGTTTTTTTGGGTTAGATCGCGCAAATATATAGATTTTTCATTAAAACCTACCACCACCCGACAGCCATCTAGTAAGGGTTGTCACGTGAACATGCCAATTCGTCACTAGTAAAGCACACCCGTGTGTTGGAGAGCCAAGCCACAGCATTTACAATCTGAGTACGACGTTTCGCCAGTAATTACAGCTAGCTTCATCAGGTGACAGCCAGATGTTTGCCTTTCTCATTACAAGGGTTTAACCTCCAAGTAGTCAATAGAGGCAGTGTGGAGCTGGAGGAGGCTGTGGACTGAGAGAGTGAAATGACACCCAGCAGTTTGTGGAGGTGCACTTTTTGCAGGATGCAGAGTAGGAGCGGCCAGCATGTGTGGACTTGGAGGTTGGGTAGATCTGTAAGCAGGAGCGGGAGACAAAAAAGCTTCGTATCATTAAACATCGACACGAGTCTGCCAGTAGGGTGGAACGATGATTGATGTGTAACCCCAGTCGGGTAATTTGTCGCTAATCTTTCGAATCTGACAAATTTTGACCCTGACACCATGAATGGTGAACATCCACTTAATCAGATGGTGCATATTTTTGGTCAATATTGCTGCGGTAATCATGATGGCTGCCGGACAGATGTGAACTGTGAACCTTTTAACAAATATCAACCGTGCTATCACTTGGCTTCTTTCATTCTAAGAATGCATGCAGGTGTAGGCATCCATTCAGAGATCAGTGTACAGTAAATGTGATGTAATGTGATGCAGTATATTTCAATGCAATAATTCAATGTTGGCGATGTGTCTCTTGATTATTTAGAGTTATAAATTTAACACATTATTCTGAGCATATACAACAAAAGCTCTTATCCAGCATCCATGGAGAATCGAGGGTGCCAGTTCATTAAATGTGCCGGTTATCTGAGAGGTATACTTTATGGTTCAGCAAAATTCTCAAATGTAAAAACATTTTTTAATGAAGAAATTAAGCATACATTTTAACTATGATATTCAAAATAATTAACTCTTTTACAGAGGTACTCACCAGTCATTTGTACAGGATTTTAATTTATTGTAGAGAAGCAGATTGCAGTGTACAGTAGTGCAGTACCGTATGTACAAGTGTAGTGAGTTCAAGAAGACGTAGACGACGTAGTCGGAGGCACACTTATTTATTATAACTTTACACTCAACACAGGCCAATGTATACAACACTTGAAGGGGTAACGGCCCCTTCACCCATCTAACAGGGAGACCCCACTAACACTAGCCCGGCTAGCCTGCTCCCAGGTCCTCCACTCGAGAGCTAGGGGAGGCTAGCTGATCCAGCTCTGGCCAAGCTAGGATCTCGGCACCCTTAGCCAACCAGACCGACTCTTACAAGAGCATCGGCTCTGGGCTCTCGGGGCCACGCCACTGGCTTGCCCCGGTCGGTCCTTAGAAGGACAGCGAGCCAGGGGAGTCCCAGGGCCTATCTAGTCGGTCTTCACTCTTCGCTGGTTAAGCTGAATACTCCACCCCGAGCCCACCGGCTCTCTCTGCCTTATATAGCAGCTCCCCCCCGAGGAGTGGGGCCGTGGGGGATCACAGCGCCGTTACAGCCCCCCAGGGCTAACCGATGCGGACGTGGATGTAGGCACCCTTACGCGTGCGGGCGTAACCACACCTTGTGTGTTTGTCCTCCCGTAACACCCCTACACAAGTACAGTGAAACAATTAGGTTCGGCAGCCCACAACACGATCGCAATGGAAGATTGCAGATTATTGCAATTGCGACTCCATTCGCGCCACCACTCAGCAAAGTCATAAAGAACGCTGCAAGATACCAGAATTTTTCTCGATATGTGAAGTAATATTTATTTTGCCGCTTAACAGATGCCGGTTAATAGAGCATTCCGTACGGAAAAGTACGTGATAGCAGAGATTTTGCTGTAAGTACCATTTGGTATTAAACGGTCAAAAATGGAAAGTCCTAAATAGACGAACGTTTGTTTTGATTGTAACCTGTGCGGAACATTTACGTGACTGCTGTTGTTCATGTGATACAGGGTCAAAAGCATTGTTTGTAGCTTAGGAACCATATCGCTCAATTCATTATCTTCTAAATTACGAATATAGTACACACAAGGGAAAACACTGAAATGTTGCATAAAGGAGATATTTTTACACAACGCTAATTATGTTGTGTTATCTTACCTATAAACATGATTTTTTTGTCTGCCTGTGTCTGCGTACGCCTATCCTCGTAACGCTTTCAACTGACAAACTATTGGGTTTACGTTTTAACAAAGTACACATACAACAAACTAAGCCCCCCTCACGAAAACTGCTATTTGTTTTTGCCATTGGGCCAATGTAAGCTAATAAGATCACACCTTATAACAATGTACACTGATCGTAATGATAACTTTGAGCGTATGCTTTGCATCTGCGCATGCATAGAAACGCTAACTCACTGTTGCCCCGAGCAACGTAAGCAAGCTTTTTGAATGGCGACGGGAGGGAGGTTCTCCTTTGCGTTAAACAAAGGCAAAAAAAGCACAGTTACTGCTGCACAAGCACACGCTGAGGTAAATCCTGAACAGTGTGATGTGTCCCCCCCACCCCAATGTGCCTTTACTACAATAGTCAGTAGATACTACTAGAGTGATTAGATACTTCTAGATTGGAAGCTTTCGTGACTGCAAGGATTCATACTCTTAGGTTTTTTTGGTAAAGTCACGTAGGTAAAAAATAAAATTAAAAGTTAATAAAAGTAATAATCGAAATAAAATAATAAATCACGAGGTTTCGGAGGCAACACAAGTCTCCGTCATCAGGTGGGACCGTCACAGCTAAAATTACTGCATCAAGTGAGGAAAATTCCAAAAGACCAGCCCTTAAATACAAGTTAAGGGGGGAGGAGCTTATCTGAATGTGGTAACCAGGGAATGGAACGTGGGGGTGGTGGGCGGGGCTACAAGAGAAATTGGTCAACGTCGACCTGTGCAAGAAAACGGAGCTACAAGAGAAATTGGTCAACGTCGACCTGTGCAAGAAAACAATCGGTGTACCTAAACCGATGTTGGTTGAGAATCCAAATACAAAAAAGCAGTACTCTGTGGCAATTCCTTGCGGCGCTGGTGAAGGCTGCAATCCCCTACTCTGTCGGTCAGACTCACTTGGCTTCCCTCTGCTCGCATGCAGCACCATGGCCCCAGTGGCCCACTGATGGCACTGCATGGTGTGTTCGCCTTTGCGTCTGTTTCAACGGCACTTGGCGCTATGCGCCGTAGTGATCCATTTAACATCACTACATCACTCCCCCCCCCCCCCCTTTTAAAATTCAGCCGTCCCAGCTGACACCCATTCCCTGTATAGCGGGACAAACTTCCCGAATACACATACAAAGCAATGAACAGCAACACAATAGGAACCTCCCACGTGAGTCAACCTGAACAAACAACAACAATTCAACACAGCAACAACAACAAAAAATACCCCGACGCACCTTAATGACCCACCCTGGACAATGTACAATACTCGATGACCGCCGACCTGCCGCCACCCATGAGCCCCGAAAGGGCCCAGTTCGACCGGCACCCGCAGCCTTGCTCGTGGCTGCGGCCTTGTGTTGGGCGGCGTCGAAATAAATAGGACGACCGGGTGAGTTATATAAAAGTCACAGTTTTAGAGCGAGTTCTCGTCGCCGGGCCCCCAGGCGGGACAAGGGCAGGTTTACCAGGGACCTCGGGGACGACTTGAAGAAGGCCTAACGGGCGCGGCCCCTCCCGTACAAGAGATGGGTAAAGAGGGGAAGCGGATGTCAGCCACTCCCCTCCTCGCTGGATGGCTTTCCGACGGTGTGACGGGCAGCTCCGAGGTCATCAAGTGCTGGATTCCTGTGGGCGAAAGAACAGAAATCTGCTGAGGCACAACTTCGGTGGTCGCACGCCCGGGCTATTCGGGCACATCCGACACCCGGCCTTCGGGCAGTGGGGATGAAACATCAGTAAAAGGCGGAAAATACAGTTTCAATCACGACGGGTGTACATACCATCGTCTGCGACCAACCTGAATCCGAACACATTGGGGCCTCTTGACCTCTATCACCTCGACCGGGCCCTGCCACGGTCTATATAACTTGGGAGACGGGCCCACAGGCACTTGAGGACAGTGCAGCCAAGCCCTCTCGCCGACATTCCACGGCTTTGGTCGTGCCTGCTTTCACTACAGCAGTGCATACTGACTTTGGTGGGACCTGCTTTCACTAGAGCAGTGCATACCGACTTTGGTCGTACCTGTTTTCACTACAGCAGTGCATACTGACTGGTGGTAACTGCTTTCACTACAGCAGTGCTTACTGAATGTGGTGGTATCCTGCTATGACTACAGCAGTGCATACTGATTGTGGTGGTACCTGCTATCACTACAACAGTGCATAATGACTGATGATACTTGCATCAACTACAGCAGTGCATACCCACTGTGGTGGTAGCTGCTTTCACGACAGCAGTGCATACTAACTGGTGGTATCCTGCTATGATTACAGCAGTGCATACCAACTGTGGTGTGACCTGCTATCACTACTGCAGTGCATACCGACTGGTGGTACCTGCATTCACGACAGCAGTGCATACCAACTGTGGTGTGACCTGCTATCACTACAGCAGTGCATACCAACTGTGGTGGTACCTGCTTTCACGACAGCAGTGCATACCAACTGTGGTGGTACCTGCTATCATTACGGCCGTGCATACCGTGGTGGTACCTGCTATCACCACAGCAGTGCATACCGACTGTGGTGGATCCTGCTATCACTACAGCAGTGCATACCGACTTTGGTGGTACCTGCTTTCACTACAGCAGTGCATACTGAATGTGGTGGTACCTGCTATGATTACAGTAGTGTATACTGTGGTGGTACCTGTATGATTTCAGCAGTACAAACTGACTGGTGGTACCTGCTATCACTACAGCAGTGCATACCGTGGTGGACCTGCTTTTACTACAGCAGTGCATACTGACTGTGGTGGCAGCTCGTTTAACTACATCAGTGGATAGTGACTGTGGTCGTACCTGCTATGACCACAGCAGTGCATACCGACTTTGGTGGAATCTGCTTTCACTACAACAGTGCCTACCCACTGTGGTGGTACCTGCTTTCACTACAGCAGTGCATACTGACTGTAGTGGCAGCTCGTTTCACTACAGCAGTGCATAGTGACTGTGGTCATACCTGCTATGACCACAGCAGTGCATACCGACTTTGGTGGAACCTGCTTTCACTACAACAGTGCATACCATCTTTGGTGGTACCTGCTTTCACGACGGCAATGCATACTTACTGTGATGGTACTTGCATTAACTACAACAGTGCCTACCCACTGTGGTGGTACATGCTTTCACGACAGCAGTGCATACTGACTGGTGGTATCCTGCTATGATTACAGCAGTGCATACTGATTGTGGTGGTACCTGCTATCACTACAGCAGTGCATACCAACTGTGGTGTGACCTGCTATCACTACAGCAGTGCATACCGACTGTGGTGGTACCTGCTATCACCACAGCAGTGCATACCGACTGTGGTGGTACCTGATTTCACTACAGCAGTGAATACCGACTGTGGTGGTGCCTGCTATGATTACAGCAGTGCATACTGACTATGGCGGTACCTACGATAACAACAGTGCATACTGTGGTGGTACCTGCTTTCACAACAGCAGTGCATACTGACTGTGGTGGGACCTGCTATGATTACAGCAGTGCATACTGTGGTGGTACTTGCTTTCACTACGGCAGTGCATACTTACTGTGATGGTTCCTGCTATGATTACAGCAGTATATACTGACTGTGGTGTTACCTGCTATCACTACAGTAGTACATGCTGACTCTACAGCAGTGTATATCGACTCTATAGCACAAACTGCTAACCTGACAGAGTGCCGTGGTGAGGCCTAGTCCTGTGCAGAGCCCCCGGCCTCGCCTAGATTGCCCAGCCGGCAGAGGCTGAGCTACTACCCCCCCCCCCAACACCCTCCCGCCTGCGCTACAATAATACTATCTAAGCACTATAATATTAGTATCGACCGACCCTATAGTAGTAAGTGCACACATTGGGGTGGGGTGGGGGGGGGGGAGAAGAGGACATGACACTTTGATGAATTTACCTTAGCGTTGCGTGTATTCTTTTTTTGCACGCAAATGAGAAATCCCCTCCACCGATGACGCGCGAGCGTTGCCAAGGGCAACCCCCGGGCAGCTTGAGCGGCGTGGGGAATTAAGTAATGTTAAATATCACTAAATTGTTAATTTAACTACTTGAAAGTTTACGGATGGGAAAACAGAATAGCGCTGGCTCACCACGGGGCTTACGGCGTGGTAGCCAGTTCACGAGCCACATCCTTCGCAAGTTGTGTCCACACAGAGACAGAAGGACATACGGACACACAGACAAAAAAATGCCTTTTATAGGTAAGACTAGCGGTAAGGACTCGGCGTTTATCGGGCGAAAAAGGCAGACACACTTGAACTTACACACAGACATTGACCCACACATATAGAAACACATCGGCTTAGACAAACACACATATGGTTAAACCCAAGATGGATCGCTAGCCGGCCAGCCTAAATGTTTATAATCGGCGAAGATGTTCCATTAGGGGGGTGCATGTTTCACAAGCGTAGAGAAGGGAGGGAATTACCATGGCCAAAAAGACCTGGAGCTTCATGCGGAGCAAGAGACCAGGTAGCTTCCACACAGCGGAACGCAGCCGATGAAAAGATAATGGCACTCGACTGATTCGGAGTGAGACCTTTGCTGTTAAACCGGAGCCGGTCATAAGCACACTGGCCAGGTATGGGAATCTCGGCAATCTCTACACAACTGCCGCATCACCAATTGTGAGTTGTAGGGGTGGATTGTTCGATGGTACAAAATACCCAGGCAGGTGCTTAGTTTTGGTGGGGCTGATGGTAAGGCCCCACCTCTTAGTGGCAAGCTCCAGGTTCAGCAGCAGTGAGCAGCAATGACCAGAGCATCGACATACATAACATGGTTGAGCAATAGGGAGGCATCCCTTGACCGCACCCGGGCATCGATCAGCCTCTCATTGTATCTGTACCATATGGTAATTCCTTGGGCACAGCCATTGAAGGCTTCATGAACTACGTGGTCAAAAGATATGTTAAATAATGTGGAGCCAGAGGACATCCCTGTCACACCCCAAGGTGTAGAGGGAATGGCTCACCATCATGAAGGTCCTTAAGGATCGTGAGCAAAGTTTGAGGGACTCCGAAAGCATGAAGAACAACCCAGAGGCCAGGCCTACTGATGGTATCATAGGCCTTGAGCAGGTCAATAAAGTACATTCACTCACACGCACACATGGTATCTCGACCTCGCTGTGCGCTGCGTTGCACCGCTAGTTGAGTAGATAACCTTGCGTTCAATAAACCCTCGGAGCCAGGATGAACGTCCAACTGCAATCGTCATTTATTGATTGTAACAAGGTAAAACTGGTGAGAAAACAGATACAGCATCTGTTATAATCCGAAAACACCAACACAATGAACACCACAGCATCAGAACATTGTCTTAGATAACAATAGATCCTGGACGAACCAGGCCCCTACATTACCACTGAACAGCTAGACAAGAGCACAAGCCGGTGCGTTGCATACAGGCACATCGTGTATTCATCCCACTGCATCCCAAATGTACAGCATTACACATAACACGAAACTGTGGATGAGATGCTTCGTCATCTTTACTCTCAGGATCGCAACATAGGCACAAGTCTGACTCGACCTACTAAATCACAAGTAACATCCACAATAAGGAAAGTCGCAGGCTTCGTTACTAACTAGGCCTCGTATTTACTACAACACCTTAACGGCACCATAAAGGCATTTACATCACTATAACGGCCATTCCAACATTACAACAGCAATGCCAATATAGGAATATAAACAACTTACAGATAATGCTTCTTAAGCTCCCACAATGGACAAGTGCGGCTGTGGTCTCACTGAGATGCGATGCGTGCCGCCATCTTGAATTATCAGTAAGATGGCAGAAGCCCGCGTGGTTCACTGAAAATCTAAAATCGTCACTTCCTGGTCACGTGACCAAAATTAGCATAAAAAACAGGAACTTCCTGTGAACGTACGCTCCACATCTGCCGTGAGGCAAGACACATGAGGGATTTGGCTCTCAATCGGTGAGGTTTACGTTAAAAAAAAATTAGCCAGGAACCACGCCGTAAGCCCCATGCTTGGCATAGGCTATTCCTTTTCCACGTCCGTCACCTTCAAATTAGTTAAATTACCTATTTTGTGCGATTTTGCTATATTTATTAAAAATTTTAAGCGACATCGACTGTACCAACTCGCGCGCATTCGGTAGGGGGGCAGACCCTGCCAAATGATACGTGTTTGGTGGGGGGACATTTTGTTTTACGCGTTTTACATGCAATAAATATACACATAAAGCTGCAGGTTTTTTTTCGCAGTGTGATGTCCTTTTCGCCCCCCCCCCCCCCCCCAACACGATGCGTTCAGTTTATACTACAGAGTCCCTACATAATTATAGTGCTTATATAGCATTATTTTTGCACTGGTCGGGGGATGGTGGGGCAGGGGGGTGCGGGGGTAGTGGCCCAGCCCCCAGCCTGGCAACGTGCCACCTCCGCCGGCTCAGCAATGTAGGCCAGGACAGGTGCTCCACACGGGACTAGGCCTCACCACGGCCTTGCTTCTTACGCTACAATCACGTACGTACAAAACTGTTATTTTAATTATCACCTTTCTTCATACATATAAGTCTCCGCGTGCACTTGCGAGGGATTTGGCTCCCAAACGGTGGCGTTTATGGCCAAAAAAAATTTGCCAGCCAGCACGCCCTAAGTCCCGCGGTGGGAATAGGCTATTCCTTTTTCACGTCCATCACCTTTAAATTTGTTACATTAGCGATTTAGTGGGATTTCGCTATATTTATTTCGCAACATCGACCGTACCAACTCACGCCAATTGCGTGGTGGGGGGGCGGACCCTGCCAAGTGATGCGCGTTCGGTGAAGCTCACACCAGACATTTTATTTTACGCATTTAACATGCAATAAATATACACATAACGCTGCGGCTATTTCTTCACAGTCTGATGTCCTCTTCGCCCCCCCCCCCCCAACACAATGCGTGCAGTTACTGCGATAAAGTCCTTAGATATTAATATTACTACAGCACTTACATAGTATTATGGTGGGGGGGGGGGGGTAGTGGCCCAGCCCCCAGCCTGACAATGTGTCACCTTTTTCCGGCTGGGCAATCTAGGCCTCACCACGGCAATGTAAAGTACAATTTTATTGAATATTTCATTGTTAACTATTACCAAACAAATAAGTTGCCAAATATTACAATAATGTTTGTGTGCAGATAAGAACAAATAAGTTGCCAGATATTACAATGATTTTCTTTGTGTGCAGAAAAATACTTTTCATTATTAGGTTCCTACATATTTCCTTTTTTAGCTTTATTTTTATGACGCTGAGACCGTGTACTGCCAGTCTATGCTGTGGACTGCTGCCTGATGTTTAAATAACGTCAGCACACTGGCACTCTATTATCTACACTGCAAATTTAGCTTTTGCCCATTATGAGTGTATGCCAGTCTATCATCTGTTGCCTGCTTCTTTACCTCACTCAGTGTACTGCCAGCCTTTCATGTCGACTGTATCCTGCTTTTTCAGCTGCTGCCCGTATTGCCAGCTTTTTATGTCGACTGTAGCAATGCTTATGTCATTGAGTCCGCGTACTGCCACTCTATAATCTAGACTGTAGCCTGCTTCTCAACTTACCTGTGCGTACTGATGCTCTTTCATGTACACTTATTTCAGCTTATTTCTTCTATGCATTTCTACTGTTTCGATTGCTCACGTCACGCTATTTACTGATACGTAGTACTGCAATGCTCATAGCTGTTCCATCATCGGGGAATGCTGTGCACGTCGATGTGTGCGATTCGATGTGTCTGTGATGTGTGTGCATGGCTCCATGTCAGTGTGTAAGTCAATGTGCGTTTGTGTGTTTATGTGTCAGTCGATGTGTGTGTGTACGTCCGTGTGTGTCAGTCATTATGTCTGTATGTTAGTCCACATGTGTAAGTCCATACATGTGTGCGTGTCACTCGATGTAAGTCAATGCGTGTGTGTGAGTTGATGTGTGTAACTCCATGTGTATCTAAAGTGGATGTCTATGTGTGTGTAAGTCCATATGTGTGTGTGTAAGTCGATGTCTGTCTGAGTCCATGTGTGTGTGTGCATGTAAGTCGATGTGTTTCTATGTGTGTGGGTCGATGTCTGTGTGTAAATTTCGATTTAAAGCTTTCGTGACTGCAGGGATTCATATTCTTGGTTCTTTCGGTAAAGTCACGTAGAAGGGAAGTAATAAAATAATAAAAATACAACATAATAAAATAATTCTCACGACGTTTCCAGGTCTGTCGCCTCGACAGACCTGGTTTTCACCTGAGGACGGCTGCTTGCATTGTGGCCGAAACGTCGTGAGAATTATTTAATGTTTTATTATTATTTTATTACTTCCCTTCTACGTGACTTTACAGAAAGAACCAAGAAGTCTGTGTGTAAGTCGGTGTGTGTCTGTCTTTTTCGCCCGGGCAACGCCGGGTACCTACCGCGAGTAGTATATATTCCATTATTTTGGTTTGTGTGTTCACAACAAATTTTTTGTTTGTTTCTAACTTGCCCATTACTTTCTTATTTATTATTCTGTTAACTCACGTAAAAATACACCTATTTTGGAAAATATCACCTTCCTATTATTACTTTACTTATCTTCACTTACAGCTTTCGTCACTGCAGGAATTCATATTCTTTGCCTCTTTCTGTTATGTCACATAGCTACAAATATTTTAATAAAGTCCGTACATAATAATATTATAGTGACGATTTGAAGCTTTCGTGACTGCAGGAATCCATACTCTTTGGTTCTTTCAGTAAAGTCCCGTAGGTATAAAATAAATCACGTTTCGGGCGCAACACAAGCGTCCATCAGCGTCTATCATGTTGATGATGGACGCTTGTGTTGCGCCCAAAACGTCGCGATTTATTTTATACCTGACTTTACCAAAAAAAAAACAGAGTATGTAATATTATAGTGCTTACATGGCTTTTTTGGTGCACGGGCGGGGGTATGGTGGGGGGGACGGACGGCCCAGCCCCCAGCCTGGCAATGTGCCACCTCCGCCGGCTCGGCAAGCTTGGCCAGGACGGGGGCTCCGCACGGGACTAGGCCTCACCGCCGCTATGGCAAGTAGCTACATTCACGTCCGTACAAAAGTTTTTTTAATTCATCACCTTGGTAATATTCTATTATTTTTGTGTGCTCATAACGTTTTTTTTGGTCGTAACTTGCCCATTACTTTCATCTTTATTATTGCGTCAACTCACGTTAAAATACATCTATTTATGCAAAGGGAATATTCTATTGTTTTTTTGTGTGCTCACAACAAATATTTTCGGTTCATAACTTGCCCATTACTTTAATCTGTATTATTGTCTCAACTCACCTTCAAATACACCTATTTATGCAAATATCACCTTCCTATTATTACATTACTTATCTTGACTTACAGCTTTCGTAACTGCAGAATTTCATATTCTTTGCCTCTTTCTGTTACGTCACGTAGCTACAAACATTTAAATAATATTTGCAGTTGTCACAATGTCATACACACCATACAAATCGCACACCTAAAATGTGTTGCTTATAACTTGGCCATTACTTTAATCTTAATTATTGTGAACTCACATTCAAATACACCTATTTGTGAAAATATCACCTTCCTATTATTACATTACTTATCTTCACTTACATCTTTCGTGACTGCAGGATTTCATATTCTTTGCCTCTTTCTGTTACCTCATGTAGCTACAAACATTTTAAATAATTTAGCATTTGTCACAAAGCCATACAAATTGCGCAACAAATATCAGTCGAGCGGCATTGTCTTTTCATCGGTTGCGTAATGCTGTGTGGAAGCTACCCGATTCGTCGCTCTGCACGAAGCTTCAGGTCTTCTCGGCCACAGTCATTCCCTCCCTTCTCTATGCTTGCGAAATGTGGAACCCCCCTAATGGAACATCTTCGCCGGTTAGAAACATTTATGCTGGCCTGTCTACGATCCATCCTGGGTCTAACCAGGCTGGATTGTGTGAAGAGCTCACAAATCCTTTAAAGATGTGGACAAAGTCCACCAGTGAGTTCCTCCGGCAGGCAAGGCTGCGTTGACTGGCCCATGTAGCCCGCATGCCTAAACAGCTTTTGTTCGGCCGGATCGTGGGGACTAAACGGGCGCGGCGTGAGCTACCGAAGAGATGGAGTGATGTGGTACAGGAGGATGTGGAGCTGCGTGGACTTGCCGATGACTGCTACCAGTGCTAAGATCGGCCTCTGTGGAGGCTTATGAAGGACGCTACTGTCCAGTTGGAGGCAGTCGTCCTCAAACGAAGGGCGGAGGAGCGACGCTCACAACAACGGGCGGAGCGCCGAGTGGCTAAAGCACAGCAAGTTGGCACAGTCGGAGGCACAGATGGTGCATCAGCCAGTAGTCCTGTCGCATCTGGATCTGCCCTGTCACCCCCTGCCAGCGGGCGTTCGACACTTCACGTGGCCTCAAAGTGCACATAGCCTGCCACAAGCGTCGTGGTGACGTCACCACCACTGAGTGCCGAATGGCGGTTGTTGTATGGTAGTGATCTTTTTTACACTTTTCATTTTTTTTCTATCGACAGAAAATGAATGTACATTTATAATGTTTGTGTGCAGACTACTAATTTTACTATTCCTTGCTTCTTTCGCTCAACTCATGTACACAGAAACATGGTATTTTAATGATCTTGCAAATAATCACATATTTTTGTTGGTTATTGCGTCAAATCACGTTCATAGAAACCTATTTTTAAAATAATCAGCTGGCAAATATTACAATCATAATGTTTGTGTGCAGACAATTATTTTTTTCTGTTCCTTGCTTCTTCCGCTAAACTCATATACATTTAAAGTGTGTGCAAGTCGATGTGTGTCTTTTTCGCCCAGGCAACGCCGGGTTCCGTTTGTCCATCATAAAAATTATAAAAGCCTTTCAGAAGTCCTGAATCAAAAAGTTATAGAAAGTGGGTGTAAAAAGTTGATCTAAAGGGTTCCAAATGCTGTCTACCCCTCCTTCCCATATTTCTTTTTACCCCCCACGCTCCGCCCTACTGGCACTCATGTCCATTTGCATGTCGGTACCAAGTCACCTTGTACCACAAAGGGACAGCTGCCACTTAGGCTAGCCGTTGAACGATTGAGATGGAATGATCCAAGCCCCTGTTAGTTGCTGAAGCGTTTCACCTTTGATTAGCAATAATGGCCGCGTACAGTGAGAATGAAATAAAGCATATATGCAAGCGCCAATCATCAATAAAAATATAACACGTTGAATGCTACGGAGGTTTTTTTGTCTCCCACTCCTGCTTACAGATCTACCCAACCTCAGAGTCCACACATGCTGGCCGCTTCTACTCTGCATCCTCCAAAAAGTCCACCTCCACAAACTGCTGGGTTTCATTTCACTCAGTCCGCAGCCTCCTCCAGCTTCACATAATTGACTACTTGGAAGTTAAATCCTTGTAATGGGAAAGGCCTGTGAATGAAATTGAACTTCTTTATCCTAAGTTCAATGATACACGTCTACTTGGTCTCCATTTGACTCAGTAGTGCCTAAAAAATCCACCCACACCTCCACATCCACAAATTTCTGGGAGTTGCCTCGCTCTGCCTCAGAGTCCACAGTCTCCTCTAGCTTCACACTGCCTCCATCGACATTAAGGTCAGATTTTGGAGTTGAATCTTCATCCTCACATTTCACTATCACTTCACTCTTTACCATCACTTCTTCGCTCTTCATTTTCACCGATTCAAATTTCATTTTCACTTCTTGACATTTCGCCTTCACTCCTGGCCACGTTTCATATCTCAAATGTTTTTCTGGTTCTTGTTTCATGAGGGATGGACTAATTGCAGTACTTTGACTTTCACAAGCCGATTTCAGATACATTTCCTGATGAATCGATTGCTGCTTATTTCGATCCCCGAACTGTCGAAAACCCTTCCCACACAGAGTGCACTTCAAGGGTGTCTCTCCTGAGTGACTTCTCTGGTGTATTTTAAGATGTGATGACTGTGCAAATTCCTTACCACACAAAGTACACTTGAAGGGTTTTTCTCCTGTGTGTGTTTTCTGGTGTGTTTTAAGATTTGATGACGTTAGAAATGTCTTGCCACACAAAGTATACTTGAAGGGTTGATCTCCTGTGTGTGTTCTCTGGTGTTTTTTAAGATATGACTGTGAAAAGTCCTTCTCACACACAGTGCACTTGAAGGGGTTCTCTCCGGTGTGTGTTCTCTGGTGTATTTTAAGATGCGATGACTCTGTAAACGCCTTCCCACACACAGTGCACTGGAAGGGTTTCTCTCTCGTGTGTGTTCTCTGGTGGCCCTGAAGAATTGATGACCGTGCAAATGCCTTACCACACAAAGTACACTTGAAGGGTTTTTCTCCTGTGTGTTTTATCTGGTGTCTTTTAAGATGTGATGAATGTGCAAATGCCTTCCCACACACACTGCACTTGAAGGGTGTTTCTCCTGTGTGTATTCTCTGGTGTCTTTTAAGATATGATGACTGTGCAAACGCCTTCCCACACAGAGTGCACTTGAAGGGTGTCTCTCCTGAGTGACTTCTCTGGTGTATTTTAAGATGTGATGACCGTGCAAATGCCTTGCCACACAAAGTACACTTGAAGGGTTTTTCTCCCGTGTGTGTTCTCTGGTGTGTTTTAAGATTTGATGAAGTTAGAAATGCCTTGCCACACAAAGTACACTTGAAGGGTTGCTCTCCTGTGTGTGTTCTCTGGTGTTTTTTAAGATATGATGACTGTGAAAATTCCTTGTCACACACAGTGCACTTGAAGGGTTTCTCTCCCGTGTGTGTTATCTGGTGTATTTTAAGATGTCCTAACTGTCCAAATGCCTTCCCACACACAGTGCACTTGAAGGGTTTCTCTCCGGTGTGTGTTCTCTGGTGCACCTGAAGAATTGATGAATGTGCAAACACCTTCCCACACACAGTGCACTTGAAGGGTGTCTCTCCTGTATGACTTCTCTGGTGTATTTTAAGATGCGATGACTCTGGAAATGCCTTCCCACACGCAGTGCACTTGAATAGTTTCTCTCCTGTGTGTGTTCTCTGGTGGCCCTGAAGAATTGATGACTGTGCAAATGCTTTGCCACACAAAGTACACTTGAAGGGTTTTTCTCCTGTGTGTTTTCTCTGGTGTCTTTTTAGATGTGATGAATGTGCAAATGCCTTCCCACACACAGTACACTTGAAGGGTGTTTCTTCTGTGTGTATTCTCTGGTGTGTTTTAAGATGTGATGACTGTGCAAAGGCCTTCCCACACACAGTGCAATTGAAGGGTCTCTTTCCTGTGTGTGTACTCTTGTGTGTATTAAGATGTGATGACTTTGCAAATGCCTTCCCACACACAGTGCACTTTAAGGGTTTCTCTCCAGTGTGTGTTCTCTGGTGGACCTGAAGAATTGATGAATGTGCAAACGCCTTGAAACACACAGTGCACTTGAATGGTTTCTCTCCCGCTGAGTGTCTTTGCTCCATTTGACCGATTCTGTACAGCAAAGTGGCAGAGGAACTGGCAGCTGCAGACAGAAAACAGTAATATCCACACAATGTATGTCAGCATATAAGCATATAAATGTATATAGTCACATGTGATATTCACATATAGACAAGAACACTCAAATATTCATGAAAAATAAAATAACAATCACCCACATTTCATCACAGGCTGTTTTAAGGCACGTGCTATTATTGACCATCAGCTCTTGGCCTGGCATAGCAGGCATCATCAATACATCTGTGCTGTAGCAGATGGACAGAAAATACAGGAGACCCTTGAATATTGTGGGGGTTGCATTCTTGGAAAGTGCCGCAAAAGCCAAAACAGCAATATTAAATACTTACCTGAACAATGGGTTAGGTAATCGGCAACCAAAAATACACATCACAATTTAAATAAGTAATATACTCTATGCAAAATAAGCTAAAAACCGTATCCAAAAACATTAAATAAATAGGAGTAGAAATACTGAATACTGTACTTACGATGATGTCTGTGCTTGAGTGGGGAGCGGTAGTGCTACGGTGAGTGTGCTGCGCTATGAACCCGGCGACCCGAGTTCGATGCTCACTCACGCCCAACACTAATGATCATTATCTGAATTGGCCCTGGGCCTTCTCTAGGTCGACTCCGCCTCAAATAAGTACCTGGTGCATTGTGTAAACATCGCCACTGGAGAGAAAAAGTGTGCCGTGCCAGCCTTTATAGGTGCTACTCGAGAAAATACATTTAACTAACTTTCCCTTTCTTGAAGAAACCGTTGTTTCGGAAAATGAAGGACTGACCATCGCAACTGAAGTGACAAAGCATTTGCAACAGTAGAGTGACTCTTTCCAAGGATATTTTTCCACGGGAAATCTTGATGTGGCAAATAAATAAACAATTACGAGCCAATTATTGAATCCAAATGTAGGTTGAGACAACAGAGCTTGATAATTTCTGGTGTGCTCAACTATCACTGTTTCCACAATTGGCAAAGACAGAGCTGGAGATCCTTGTGCCATTTGTGATTTGTGATTACATACTTGTGTGAGATTGGATTATCATCATTCCTACACATCAAAACAAAGGCCAGAAACTGCTGAAATGCAAGGCATGAGTGTGGCTTTTTCAAAAAGGTTCCTCGTTTTTCGAACATCAAATTAACAAAAGCAACAGCAGAGAGTCCCTGAGCCGGTGAATTTAAAAGAAGGGTGTAATTTTTCATGTGTAGAGTAATAGTGCTGGCTGCTTTCATGGCAGTACACACGTCAGCAGGCGACAGGATACACGGGGGGAAGACAACTAGGGCAGAGTTCATGGAGGGGTCCATCTGGAAGCCCTGGGATCCTGCTTGTAGGTTCCAGAAGGGGGGGGGGGGGGGGCATGGCCAGGGCGAGCAAAGCCATGTCGGGAGCATAAGAGGGAGCCCTGGGCAAGAGCTCGGGGCTGTTACTGGAAGTGGATACCCTCGCCGTGCTGTCGTCTCACTAGCTAGACAGACTGCCAACTGTTCTAGCAAGATAGTGCTGCCAACGATAGACGGTTGTGTGATATATAGCGTACACCCATGTAGGGTGCGTGTAGTCCCCATTGTGTGGAATAAAGGTGCCTCCAATTACTACCATCTCCGAACTGCGTCACTACACATGTAGTGACTAACTCAGAGACGATAAGACTTGGAGGGGCACTTCTTTATTCACAAGCGCCATCGGGGTTAATACTCATATAATTAGTCCATCTATTTTAGACGCTACTCTGTCAGGACAGTTGGTCGGCTGCCTGACTGGTGACGCCCCGAGATGGTGAAGACTGAGATGATGACAACGATGGTGAAGATGACAAGAAGAATGGTGAAGACGACGAGAAGAATGGTGACAAAGACTTCAGCAGCACGACGGGGATCCCACTTCAACAACAGCCCTGAGGTCCCCTATAGAGGCTCCTCTTATACTGTCAGAGTGGCCTGGCTCCGTCCCCGGCCACGCCCCCTTTCTGGAACCTACCAGCGGGTTCTTGATGTGCCCCTTCTGTGACCTTTCCCCTAGATCCCCGTCTGGTGTATAACCTGGCATGCTGATGCCAGGGCTGCCGTAAGCCGCAGATCCCTCTCCCTGCAAGGAGCCAGCGCTATGCTACTACCCTATGCCACTACACTACTATTCTATGCCACTACACATGTATTCTTAATTTTTCTCTGACATTAAAATAAGTATATAATTATACCTCTTTCATTTTATAGTTGAAATATATCTTAAATTTAAAGAACTGACCTACTTCAAAGATCTTCTTGGTTCTTTCGGTAAAGTCACGTAGAAGGGAAGTAATAAAATGATAAAAATAAAACGTAATAAAATAATTTTCACGATGTTTCGGCCACAACGCAAGCAGCTGTCCTCAGGTGGAGAACAGGTCCGTCAAGTAGACAGAGTCTGAATGGCACGCTCCAGGCTTGGAGCGACTATTTATGCTGGGATGGAGGGGCGAAGAGCGTCTTGACAAAATAATTTGCATATCAAGAGGAATTTAGCATATTTATGGGAAATGCAGATATGCGATTAGCATTACTTGTGAAATGCGTAGGTTTGGCGAGGGGTTTAAAGTCATTATGCCCATGCATTATGCAGGATTAGCAGCATCAAAGGGAGGGAGTAAGGTCAGAATTAATAAAGGGAAGGAATGTTAATAATATGGCGCCGCAGCAACTAATATGCTTATTGACTATACCTTGTCATATTACACTATGTTTTATTCTACCCACTCAACTGTATAGCACACTGCTATATATTCACTATAAAATTACGATACTATATATTACCTTATACATTGTATTAAACATTACACTTTAATACTATTTATTATTATATAATATGCTATACACTATACCATAAACCGTCGCGTGAAAGGTAATAAGAGGAAGCAACGAAATATGTCAATGGGAGAATGGTGGTAGGAAGCTTGAAGCGGAGCAAATAATCCATTCCCTGCGGAGGGCATATCAATAGGAATTTAGCATATTTATGGGAAATGCAGATATGCGAATAGGAGAATTGGCGAGGGGTTTAAAGTCATTATGCCCATGCATTATGCAGGATTAGCAGTATCAAAGGGAGGGAGTAAGGTTAGAATTAATAAAGGGAAAGAATGTTAATAATATGGCGACGCAGCAACTAATATGTTTTTAGACTATACATTGTAATATTACACTATGTATTATTCTACCCACCCAACTGTATACCACACTGCTGTATATTCACTATACAATTACGATACTATATATTACCTTAAACATTGTATTAAACATTACACTTTAATACTATTTATTATTATACAATATGCTATACTCTATACCATTGACCGGCGCGTTAAAAGGTACTAAGAGGAAGCAACGAAATATGTCAAAAGAGTGGTGGTAGGAAGCTTGCACCAGAGTAAAGAATCCATTCCCTGCGGAGAATACAGGATATATAGTCAATGTCAGTGAGTGGAACGCGGCCTGAAAGTCACCGTAAGCGTGGACACAATCAGTTAAGATCCGAAATGGTTTATTACGTCCTTCCAATGATTGCTAAGCCGGAATCCATCTTCTCAGTTGAAATTGTCTCTGTGTTTGTATATGTGGATCGCCTCATGAAAGAATCTCTCATGGTAGCCAGATGGCTTGCAGATAACCTCTGTCTTGGAGAAGTCAATATCATGTGAACCCACTGAATTGTAACAATGATCTGCCACGGCTGAGGTGTTTGTCCTACCGTGTTTCAAGTCTGCTTTATGTTCACGGATGCGGTCCGAGACATGTCGTTTACTTTCTCCAATGTAACTGCTACCACAGAGGCAACTTAGTTTGTAGACGCCAGGGTACTGTATGTCTGGAACCACATCTTTTACAGACGGGACCAGATCACGGATTTTATGTACTGTGTTGAATCGGACCTGGATCTTGTGTTTAATCAGGATTTTGGAGATCTTTTTTGTGACCCCAGCAATGTAGGGTAAGGTGATGGTCTTGAGAGGCTCTTCAACAGGATCCTTCTTGATGGTTGGAGTGATGGCTTTGCGGATTGTGTAGTCGGAGTAACCATTAGCCTTAAGAGCTTGGTGTACGTGTTTGAGTTCACTGGCAATGTGTTCCTGGTCGGAAATGCATTGGGCTCTATGGTATAGAGTCTTGATGAGGGAATTCTTCTGGGATGGATGGTGGTGGGAATCCGGTTTTAGGTAAGCATCCGTATGGGTGGCTTTTCTGTAGACAGAGTGGCTCATTGAACCATCAGGTCTCCTTTTAATTAGGACATCCAAAAAGGGTAGCTTACCATCTTTTTCGACAAGCATGGTGAATCTGATGGCTGGGTGTATGGAATTGATGTGGTCGAGAAATTGGTCTAGAGCAGGCCGGCCATGTGGCCAGATGACAAAAGTGTAATCTACGTACCTCTTCCATAAGGTCGGGCGTAGAGTGGCAGTCTGGATGGCGTCAGTCTCAAATTTATCCATGAAGACGTTGGCTACAACCGGAGATAGGAGGGAGCCCATTGGGGTGCCCTCAGTTTGCTTGTAGAAAGGTCCATTCCAGGTGAAGTATGTATTGGTTAAGCAGTGTCTCACCAGGGGGGGTACCCCAAAATTCAGTCCTTGATGAACCAAGTCTTCAATGATTGCGATGGTGTCAGGTACAGGAACTTTGGTGAATAAGGAAACCACGTCAAAACTGACAAGCAGGTCGTCTGAGGACAGGGAAATCCCCTTGATTGTCGATACCAGGTCAGTAGAGTTTAGTACCGCAGAGGTGGTTTTTCCAGTGAAAGGCCATAGGATTTCAGACAAAAAACAAGCCAGTTTGTATGTGGGGGAGTTGATCGTAGAGACAATGGGACGAAGAGGTGTATCTTCTTTATGTATCTTTGGCAAGCCGTATAATCTTGGTGGCCTGGCAGCAGAAGGTTTCAACGAGAACTGTTTGGTCTGATCAATTAATGCGGTTGAATCAGAAATGATTTGGTTGGTTTTAGAGACGAGGCTGTTGGTGGGGTGTCTTTTTATTTTTATATAGCTGCCATCGTTGAGTAGTTCTTGAATTTTGTTGTCGTATTCTATTTTGTCCATGATGACAGTGGCATTGCCTTTGTCGGCTGAGTGGATGACAATGTCGTCCCTCTTTTTTAATTGAGCTAATTCAAAACGCTCATCTTTGCTGATGTTGCTAGCTGGCATCTTTTAGCGTTTTTGAGGGTTGCAGAGATTTCAGATCTTGCTACATCTGCAGAGATGTGACTCAGGCCCTTGAGAGCTACATCTACTCTAGCAATTATATCATTAACTGGTATGTGTCTAGGTGTGACTGCAAAGTTTAGTCCTTTAGCTAAAACGGATTTCAGACCTTCAGAAATAGAACTGTTACTGCGATTAATTACCACTTTGTTAACGTCTAGCTTTTCAATGTGTGGGTCCGGTCTCTTGTTTGAGAGGCGGTTGAATTTGGAAATCAAGTTGTCCTTACATTTGGTCGACATAGCGGCAGCTGAAGAGGCAGTCATTTTGTCTACATGTTCCCAATCCGATGTGGACATTGTTGCACTCAAAGATAAGTGTGATTTGTAGAGTGTCTTGTCTAACTGATCTAGATCGGTGCGCGTAAGTCTGATTTTCTCTGAGATAAGAGCTAAGCTAGTTCTAGACAGAATTCGTTTAGCATTAGAAAAAGTTACAGCAGCAGATGTTAGTGTAAATGCGTTTGGTATTACCTTAGAGTCGCGGCATCTCTTCAGAAAGGTGAGAGACTCGATTAGCTGAGCCTTCTTATCACGGAGCTTGTTTAAGGATCTCAAAGTTACGTGGAATCCCTCCCCGTAGAGGCGGTTAAATTTCGATTTAAAGCTTTCGTGACTGCAGGGATTCATCATCTTGGTTCTTTCGGTAAAGTCACGTAGAAGGGAAGTAATAAAATAATACAAATAAAACATAATAAAATAATTCTCACGACGTTTCGGCCACAATGCAAGCAGCCGTCCTCAGGTGGAGAACAGGTCCGTCAAGTAGACAGAGTCTGAATGGCACGCTCCAGGCTTGGAGCGACTATTTATGCTGGGATGGAGGGGCGAAGAGCGTCTTGACAAAATAATTTTCATATCAAGAGGAATTTAGCATATTTGTGGGAAATGCAGATATCCGATTAGCATTACTCGTGAAATGCGTAGGTTTGGCGAGGGGTTTAAAGTCATTATGCCCATGCATTATGCAGGATTAGCAGCATCAAAGGGAGGGAGTAAGGTCAGAATTAATAAAGGGAAGGAATGTTAATAATATGGTGCCGCAGCAACTAATATGCTTATTGACTATACCTTGTCATATTACACTGTTTTATTCTACCCACTCAACTGTATAGCACACTGCTATATATTCACTAAAAAATTACGATACTATATATTACCTTATACATTGTATTAAACATTACTCTTTAATACTATTTATTATTATATAATATGCTATAAACTATACCGAAACGTCGTGATAATTATTTTATTATGTTTCATTTTTATTATTTTATTACTTCCCTTCTACGTGACTTTACCGAAAGAACCAAGAAGATGAATCCCTGCAGTCACGAAAGCTTTAAATCGAAATTTACTTCAAAGATGTTTTATAAGGGGTGCAAGAACATATTTTGAGAACCAAAGGGGTGCAAGGCTGCAGCAAAGGTTAAGAACCATGATCCTTGATGAATCCAGAAAATTTCCACTAAGCATCTTGCAGTGTGCTTCAGGACATTGCTGAGTGGTGCCGCAAGTGGAGTCGCAAACATCCGCCATTGTGATCGCGTTGTGGGCTACATAACCTAATTGTTTCACTGGTATGTACATACAGTCATTTAAACGGCCCTACTGTTTTTCTACAATCAACTTAGAATGCCCTACAACTGACTGGTGTATGCTTTATTTCTTTCTTGCAAAGTTTTTTTAAACTTGGGAAATTTTGGTGAACCATACGTATTACTCTCAGATAACTGGAATATTTGATGAACCATCACATTACATCGCTTTACTGCACACTGAATCTCTGACTGGATCATGCCTACACCTGCATGCATTCTTAAAATGAGAGAAGCCAAGTGGTAGCACGATTGATATTTGTTGAAGAGGTTCACAGTTCAAATGTCTCAGGCAGCCCTAATAACTGCAGAAATATGAACCAAATGTATGCACCATTTGCTTAACAGTGCATGTGTAGTGAGATGACCAGTCAGAGCGGGGAGTATAAATTTCATTATGAAAGTCTCTCACTCGAAACATGACCTCTTCACTACATTTCCCGCCAAAAAGTGCCGCGAGCCCCCTCTCTATTCACTGACCTCCCCCCCCCCTTCTGAGGCTTTCCCTAGCCTATCGCTACGTCTTCTCCACCGTCTCCTCTTGATGACGTCACCCTCTCATGGGGGCCGATTCTCATGATGTGGATGTGATAAACCATTTCGGGTCTTAATTGATTGTGTTCAAGCTTACGGTGACTTTCAGACCGCATTCCATTCTCCTTGTCTCCCTCCTCCTCCGTTCCGAGCATAGATGGACTCGTCCGTCTGAACAACCGCTAGTTGCTATTAGTGGTGCTAACGTTAAGAAAAAAACGCCACTTTTTTTTCAAATTTTCTTGCTGTGGTTTTTCACACCTGATGATGATTGCTTGTGTTGCAATCGAAAAGTCGTGAGAATTGTAATGTTTTATTATTATTATTATTTATTTTTTCCATTCTACATTACTTTACCAAAAGAACCAAGAATATATTTCACAGTCACTTCACTCTTCACCGCTTCAAAATTCATTTTTACTTCTTGACATTTCACCTTCACTCCTGGCCACGTTTCATATCTGGAATGTTTTTCCGGTTCTTGTTTCATGAGGGATGGGCAGTACTTTGACTTTCACAAGCCGATTTCAGATTCATTTCCTTGTGAATCTTTTGACGCTAGTTTTGATCCCCGAACTGTCGAAAACCCTTCCCACACAATGCACTTGACATATTTTTCTCCTGCATGTGTTTGCTGGTGGTTCTGAATAACTGATGACTGTGCAAATGCCATCCCACACATAGTGCACTTGAAGGGTTTCTCTCCTGTGTTCTGTGGGGGATCTGAAGACCTCATAACTCTGTAAATGCATTTCCACACACAGTTCACTTGAATAGTGTATCTCCCGTGAGTGTTCGCTGGTGACGCTTTATGTTAACATTGTGATCCATGCTGTAAGGACACTGACCATGCTGGTACCTTTTCGTACTGAGCTGCGCTGAGTGGCTTCACCCCATCTGACCGATTCTGTAGAGCACAGTGGCACAGGAACTGGTAGCTGCAGACAGAAAGCAGTAATATCCACACAATGTACGTCAGCATATAAGCACAGAAATGCATATATATATTCACACATGACATTTACATGACATACACATCTATACCCAAACATTAATGAGAAGAAACTAAATAAAACTCATCACCAATTCATCACACAGGCTGTTTTAAGGCACAGTCTGCTATTGAGAATCACTTATTGACCTGGCATAGCAGGCAATGTGAGTGCAAGTGGTTAGTATAATGCCTGGAGGCCCTAGTATATTTAATATCAATGATAACCCATAACTCTACGTACAGAAGTTCGGTTGTATATGGCTACTGGAGAAATGTAAACTTTTGCAAAAGTCTGATAAAAATGTCAAATGGTGTTAAAAATAAAACTTTGCATTAGACAGAAATATTATAAAATGGACAAATTAATCTTCAATCGCAAATTAAGTCCGAAGTCAGGCTCAGATTTTCTTGAATGGACAGAGGTTCTGGAAGGCGCGCGTTGTGATGATTGTATACAGGTGACCGGAAGGCACCGTAAGCATTTTTCAATTAAAGACACACATGTTATAGTAAAGTGGGGGGAGGGGGGCACTATCCAATAAGGGCAGGGCCGAGCGAGTAAATAAGGGGAAGCGAGGCCCGCGGTCGGGGCGCTTACTTTGGTACTAATTGACGACCAGAGGTGGACGAAATTAGGGTTGACTGTGGAAACTGTTCAGGTATTAACTTGGTGGAAACCATCGGGGCTGAAGATAGCCATAGCAATTACGAGTGTGGCAGTCGTTATACTTGAACTGTATATACGTTAGGAGAAATAAATCTCTACTCCCCTGAAAATGGATGTCTCCAAGGATCTTCTTTACGCATGTGTAGTGAGTCCAACTGAGTCGCAGATGTTATTCTTCAGAGGCAACACATTTATTCACAACACGTATATACAAAGGGGTAACTGCCCGTTTACCAGATACAGCCTAGGGTGGTGACCACCCAGCTAACTACACTACACATAGGAGTTACGGCTACGATGGACAGGACCCTCACTTGGGTCCCCGGCCACGTGTTGGTGCCTCTTCAGATGTAGGACGTAGAGCTTCCAGCTTGTAGATGTCACTACATCACCACCCCCCCCCCCCCCCTTCGTAGCATTCAGCCATCCCGGCTGTCAACTCCACCTCCAAAAAAATAAATTAGTGAAAGGCAAGAGAAAAAAACCAATGTGTGCCTCAACAATAACAAGAACATCAATAAATACCCCAACCCACCTGTACAAAAATTACACTATCCACAAATGAACAAAACCAGCAGGGAGAAGGGTATAAAACCAACGAACCCATAACAAAACCACAACAACAAAGAAAAACGCGTGAACCCACGGGATCCCCTCGACTACCACACCTCCTACCTTCACCGTGTAATGATGCTCGCGAGCTCAATAGCGGCCAGGATCAACCAATAACCGCCACGATTCAAGAGCGTGACAAGCAACTGACAGTGTGGGAGTGTGTGTATACGGGGATCATGAAAAACGAGTCTTTGAGCGAGTCCGTGATGCCAGGCCCCAGGGGAGGTGGGCTCACTCACCCTAGAGGTCCCGGGGAGAACGTGCAAATGTTCCACCGAACCCAGATCCTCACAGAAAGCAGTAGGCTGGGTTGACGGGTCCTCCGCGCTCGAAGCCTACGACGCAGGCATGCGCGGCCGTTCGGGAGACGTCAGTCGCGTGGCACCTGGGGGCAGAACAGAATCGCTCTGCTGAGGACCAAGCTCAGCGGGCACACACCCCAGCTTGTCGGGACACATTCGACACTTGGCCCCTGCGATATGGAGATGAAGCGAATTCGCGTGGCGCAATAAACAATTTCAGGCGAGAGGGATGCACGAACCAACTCCGCCAACCCAAGCGGATCTGGACACACTGTGGTCGAACCCGAACAACATCAAACGGCCCCCACCAGGGCTGGAATAAATTAGGCGATGTACCCACCGGCACCTGTGGACAGTGCAACCAGGCCTTATCCCCGGGTGTCCATTCATACAGAAAAGCACGCACTCCTTTAAGACGTTCGTTGGCCAATTGTCGCGACTCAGAATTAACCCTGGAAGCCTCCCGTGCCTCGGAAAGCTTTTGAAGAGTGAAGATTTAGACATTTTGGGCATGGCCTATAACTGCACATCGATGGGGGGATCGTATTCCCTTCTATACATAAAAAAAATGGTGAGTAGCCGGTGGATGCGTGCGGGGCCATCCTGTAAGCGGCAAGGGCCGTAGGGATGTGTAAGTCCCAATCGAGTTGCGACTCACTGACCTGGTGGCTCAACATGGAGGTCAGAGTCCTATGTAGCCGTTCAACTCTGTCATCCGTCTGCAGGTGGTACGCTGACATGCACACCTTCTTTATCCCCAACAAATCGCAGACTTCACGCAACAATCTTACCTATAAAAGTCTCCGCGCGCTCGCCCCTTGCGGGGGATTTGCCTCTCGGACGGTGGGCTATATGTAGAAAAATTTTTGCCGGGTGGCACGCCCTAAGCCCCGCAGTGGGAATAGGCTATTTCGTTTTCCCATCCCTAAACTTTAAAGTAGTTTAATTAACACATTTGTGCCGTTTACTTATTGTGCGACATCGACCGTACCAACTGACGCCAATTGCGTGGGGGGGGCGGACCCTGCTAAGTGATGCGCCTTCGCTCGAGCTCACGGGGACATTTCCTTTTACGCGTTTAACAGCCAATACACACACACATGACGCTGCGGATATTTCTTCACAGTATCATGTCCTCTTCGCCCCCCCCCCCCCCCCCCAACACGATGTGTCCAGTTTATACTACTGAAGACTCCCTAGATAATAATATTTTACTGCTTACATACCATTATTCTTGCACGGGTGGGGGATGCTGGGGGGGGGGGGGGTAGCGGCCCAGCCCCTGGCCTGGCAATGTGCCAACTCCGCCGCCTCGCCAATGTAGGTCAGGAGGGGGGCTACGCATGGCACAAGGCCTCAACACGCCTATGGCAAGTACAAATTTCCAAGCTTCTTACACTAACAAATCAAGTCCAATGTTTTCTATTATTAAACACATTAGTTGACAAACATTACTATAATAATGTTTGTGTGCACAAAACTCTTTATTTTTTGGTTGCTAAATTTTCACTTTTTTTGCTGCGCTTTTATGACGCTGCGACGGTCTGCCAGTCTGTGATGTGGCCATGTACGTCCATGTGTATGTGTGTGTCAGTCCATATGTGTGTTAGTCCACATGTGTGTGTTAGTCCACATGTGTATGTAAGTCTATACATGTGTGTGTCACTCGATGTGTGTGTGTAAGTCAATGCGTTTGTGTGAGTCCATATGTGTGTGTTCATCCATGTCTGTGTATCTCAAGTAGATGTCTGTATGTCACATGTGTTTGTGTGTAGGGCTGTGTGTGTCAGTCTATCTATGTGTGTCTAAGTCCATGTGTGTGTCTTAGTCCATATGTGTGTACGTACATATGTGTGTTTACGTCAATGTGTGTGTAAGTTGCTGTATGTGTGTACGTCGATATATGTGTAACTCCATGTGTGTGTAGTGGGTTCGAATTAGGTGCACACACACACAGCTTGGAGGCAACACTATTTATTAAACGATAAGTAATATTACACTGTACATGAGGTGGTGACCACCTTCCTCAACTCACTAACACTCTGGAACACTATAGGACGACGACCCGGGACTTGAGGACCGATGATGTCGTCTTCACTTCGGAGTTCAACAGCCCCGCTCTGCATCCACACCCCGCTTATATTCGCTCCGGCGTGCCCGACTCCGCCCAGGCGTGGCCGGCTCTGCCCAGGCCACGCCTCCCTTCCCCCACCTCAAGGGAAGGTTTGGGTCCCTCCACCACGTGACCCCCCAGGCACCCCCTTGGGGCCCCCAGCCCTCGTACGGGCCGACACAGTAGTGACGTCCTATGTCACTAGATGTGTATATCTCAAGTGGATGTCTATGTGTGACCTTCATGATGGCGAGCGGCCCCGCGTCAAACTATGTGGCCGTGAGTCAGGGCCATTCCCTGTACACCTTGGGGTGCAACAGGGATATCCTCTGGCTTCCACATTATTTTACATATATTTGGACCACGCAGTTCCTGAAGCCTTCAATGGCTGTACCGCTATAATTTCCATCTGGTACAGATACAATGGGAGGCTGATCGATGCCCGGGTGCGGTCAAGGGATGGCTCCCTATTGCTCAACCATGTTATGTATGCCGATGATCTGCTAATTGCTGCTCACTCGGAGGAGGAGTTCGAGGTGCTGCTGCTGAACCTGGAACTTGCCACCAAGAGGTGGGGCCTTACCATCAGCCCCACCAAAACTAAGCACCTGCCTGGGTATTTTCTACCATCGGACACTCCACCCCCACAACTCCCAATTGGTGATGGGGCAGTTGTGGAGACAGTGGAGAGTTTCCCATACCTTGCTAGTGTGCTAATGACCGGCTCCGGTTTAACAGCAGAGGTCTCACTCCGAATCAGTCGAGCCACATTATCTTTTCATTGGTTGCGTAACACTGTGTGGAAGCTACCTGGTCTATCACTCCGCACGAAGCTTTAGGTCTTCTCGGCCACGGTCATTCCCTTCCTTCTCTACGCTTCCGCCCCCCTAATGGAACATCTTTGCCGGCTAGAAACATTTAGGATGGCCTGCCTACGATCCATCCTGGATTTAACCAGGCTGCATTGTGTGAGGAGCTCACAAATCCTTGAAAGATGTGGACAAAGTCCCATCGGTGAGCTCCTCCACCAGGTAAGGCTGCGTTGCCTGAGTCATGTAGCCCGCATGACCAGACACCGCATGCCGAAACATCTTTTGTTCGGCCGGATCGAGGGGGCTAAACTGCCCGGCACGGGCTCGAGAAGACATGGAGTGATGTGGTACAGGAGGACGTGGAGCTGAGTCAACTTGCCGATGACTGGTACCAGCCGTGTCAAGATCGGCCTCTGTGGAGGAGCTTCCTGAAGGACGCTACAGGGCAGTTGGAGGCAGTCGCCCTCCAACAACAACGGAAGATGGAGGAGCGACGCTCACAACAACGAGCGGAGAGCCGGGTGGCTAAAGCACAGCAAGTTGCCACAGTAGGGGGAACAGGTGATGCATCAGCCAGTCGTCTCAGTCAGTCGACCTGTGCCATCTGGGTCTGCCCCGTGACCTCATGCCAGTGGGCGTTCGACACTTTATGTGGCCTCAAGGTGCACATAGCCTGGCACAAGCGTTGTGGTGATGTCATCGCCACTTACTGGCGAATGGTGGTTGTTATTGTTCAGTCTATGTATGTATGTGTGAGTCGATATGTGTGTGTAACTCTATGTGTGTGTGTCAGTCCATTTGTGTGTGTAACTACATGTGTGTGTCTGCCTTTTTCGCCCGGGCAACGCCGGGTACTCACCGCTAGTTTAGAAGATAAATTCTTGCCCTGATCAGTCAAAAGGCGTTCAGGAGCACCCTTGTCCATAACATAACCATTGAGGAATGCCTCAGTAATAGTCACAGCCGATTGATTAGGGAGCGGCCAGGCAACAGGCCATCGTGAAAGATACTTGACCCCCTCAAGCAGATGTTTGTTCCCTCGAGCGGTAGTGGGGAACGGACCAAGGATGTCCAGAGCAACAAGTTCATTGACGCGTGATACCTGAATCGATTGCAGAGGGGGGCGGCAGGGTTTCGCCGGAAGATTCCGCCGAGCACACTGCACGCACACTTTGAGCAAATTGTCGACATCCGCAGACATGGCCGGCCAATAGAAATCCAGTTTGAGCGTGGCCAGCGTCTTCCGCACGCCCAGGTGCAAGAGACGCTCGTGCACAACCCAAATAACCTCGCCTCGCAGGGCAGTGGGGAAGACAATGGTATAACAGCGCAGCCCACCCGTCCCAATGCATTAGTAAGCCGCCCCGCAGAATGACTGAGGCGATGCCGCGTTGATCCGCGCCCCCATCAGCTTCCCTAACACGACACCGCAATTTGAGCAGCGAGGCATCCTCCGCCTCAAGGCATCCCCATTCCTCGTAATCCAGCCCAATGACCGCATCCTGTGTGACCGGACCGGTACCCGTCCCACCCGTCGCCGCATCGGCAGATGCCGTGAGAGGAGGGAGCGAGGTCACATCGGCCAGTTTACAGCGCCCGGAACCAGAAAAACATGCGCACCCTCCAGTTGTTGGCAATCGCGACAGGGCATCGGCATTCGTATGGCAAGATCACTTGCGGTACGTAACATGGAACGAGAAGTCCTGATGGATCTCCAGCCAGCATGACAATTTGCCCGACGACAGGTCTACACGCAGCGCGTATTGGAGCGCTGCATGATCGGAGTGCACCTCCAATCGTCTACCGTACAAGTAGGGGCGATATTGCTGCACAAAAACCACAATGGCCAGCAATTCACGGCACATAACACAGTACCGCTGTTCGGCCGGAGACAGCACCCTACTGCCGTACGCAACAACGCTATCCACCCCATTGACAACCTGCGACAAGACGGCTCCAATTCCGGTATTGATAGCATCCGTATCAAGGATGAACGGCAATGAAAAATCAGGATAACGCAGGGGAGGGGCGTTCACCAATCCATCGCGGATAGTACGAAATGCAGCCTCCTCCTCCTCCCCCCAATGAAACTCATGACCCTTAGCAGTCAATGCGTGGAGAGGTTTGGCAATTGATGTGAACCCGGCAACGAAATGGC